TTGGGAGAAAGCAATATTTGAAGAGATACTGGCTGAGAATTTTCCAAAAGCCAAGGAGATAATCAATTCGTAGATTCAAAAATATCTATGAACTCCAAGCAGGATAAGTACAAAGTAAACCATAACTAGATGCACATAGTAAAATTGACAAAAAGTAAAATCTTAAAGCTTTTGGAGGGGGGCAGGGTATGGATTGGGGCATATTGCTTTCAAAGAAGCAACGATAAGACTGACAGATGACTTTTTAACAAAAGTAAGGGAATTCATAAGACAGTGTAATAATATCTCTAAAGTACTAAAGAAAATAATTGCCAACCTAAAATTCTGTACCCAGTAAAAATGTTTTTCTTAAAGGGAAGTGACAGAAAACTTTTCAAGCTAACAAAAATTGGGAGAGAATTTGTCATTGCAAACCTGAAGTAGAAGAAATATTTAGTGAGGTTCTTCAGTTAGAAGGAAAATGATTTCCAATGAAAGCTCTGAAATGCAGGAGAATAAAGTGCAATGGAAATTAGTTATCAGGCTAAATATAAATTTGCCTGATAATGTAAATGTAGAAAAACAACAATAACAATATTTGTTGATTATGGGGGAAAATGCAATAAAAATCAACAAAGTCAAAAGTTGTGTCTATGAAAGGAACCCTCCCACTCAGGAAGAGTGTTTGAGGACAAAAAGAGAATACACACTAACTACCAATATCAGGAATAAAAAGGGACAGCTGTACAGATCCCACAGACATTTAAAGAGATAAGAGGAAGATAGGAACAATTTTATGTGAATTTGAGAAACAATTTACAAAATGGACAAGAAATAGAAAATAGAAGTAGTCTTATAGCTGTTAGAGAAGTTGAATCTGTAATGAAAAACCTGCACATAAAGAAGGCTTCAGATCCAGATGGCTTCATTTGAGTTTTAGCATACATCTTAGGAAGAAATAATGCTAATTGTACACAAATTATTTCAGAAAATAGGAAGAGAGAACACTTCCCATTTTTAAAAAAAATGAGATCAGCATAACCTGGATCCTAAAATGTGACAGGACATTATGAGAACAAAGTTAATTGGTCAATCAGTCTCATGTGATGCTTGTAAGCATCACAGCCAAATTTATTAAACAAATGCCAGGTTAGTTATTTATGACCTAAGAATAAAGGAGAAAAAAATCATGTATGAGTAGATGCAGAAAAAGTCAATACCCATTCATGATAATACTTAGAAAACTAAGAATACAGCAGAAGTTTCTTAATCTAGTAAAAGTATTTACATAAAATTTACAAAAAACTTTCTTAAAATAATAAATTTTTTTCCCTGAGATCAGGAATGAGAGAAAGATTTATCCACCATTTCTTATCAACATTTTACTACAGATGTTCTAGCCAATATAATAGGGCAAGAAAAAAAAATAATTAGAAAGGAAAAAATAAAACCGCCATTATTTGTAGATGACACTGATGTACTTAGAAAGCCAAAAATTATCTATCTGTACGTGACCTATTAGAAATGAGTGAGTTTATTTGCTGTAAAAAAGAATGAAATACTACCATTCACAACAACACGGATGGACTGAGAGAAAATTATATTAAGTGAAACAAGTCAGGCACAGAAAGAGAAATACCACATGTTCTCACTTATTTGTGGGAGCTAAAACAAATAAATAAATATATGAACAAATAAAGGGTTGGGGGGGGAGAAGACAAATTAATCGCAACAATTCCTTGAACTTGTTAAGACAAATGAACAGATATGATGTGGAGGGGGGAGAGGGAGGGAGAAAAGAGGAATGGGTAAAGAGACACAAAAACCAACTACAACGTATATTGAGAAGTTAAAATAAAAAAATAGAAATGAGTGAGTTTAGCAAGTTTTCTAGAAACAAAGTCAATATGTAAAATCAATTTTATTTCTCTACTACAGACAATAAGAAAATGTAGATTTAAAAACTGCCACTTGCAGTAGCATCTAAAATCAAATACCTAGAACTATATTGAAGGAATGATATTAGGCTTAGCATATAAAGAACTATAAAGTATTATCAAACAGAATTATAGAGGACCTAAGTTATTGGAGAGTTAAACCATGTTCATTGATTGAAGAATCAATATTGTAAATACACATTGTTTTTGGCCAAATTGATCTGTAGATTGAGTACAATTTTAATCAAATCCCAGTAGACTTTTATTTTTAGCCCTGGAAATTCAGATTTATATGAAAATGCAGGAGCCAGGAATAGTTAAAATAATTTTGACGAACAGCCAAAAGTAGAAGACTTATACTATCAAATATCAAAACTTATTGTGGGGCCGGCCCGGTGGCGCACTGCTACAGTGCACGGCTTGAGAGTGTGGCGGCGCTCCCGCCGAGGGTTCGGATCCCACATACAGACCGGCTGCTCACTGGCTGAGCGAGGAGCGGGGGCAACACCAAGGGTTGCGATCCCGTAGCCGGTCCCGGTCCGGTACGGGCGCAACACTGAGGGTTGCGATCTGTGGGCAACACCAAGGGTTGCGATCCCGTAGCCGGTCCCGGTCCGGTACGGGCGCAACACTGAGGGTTGCGATCTGTTGCCGGTCAAAAAAAAAAAAAACTTATTGTTACAAGAGTTACAGTAATTAAGACAGTGTAGTGATAATGCAAGGATAGGGAAATAAATCAGTTTAGAGCATCCAGAAACAAATACGTACGTATATTGGTAGAGATGATGTATGACAAAGGTGATAACTGCCAAGCGATGGGGGAAAATGGTGTTTTCCGTAAATGTTACTGGGTCAGTTGGAGCTCCAGATGGGGAAACAAATCAATTTTGATCTCACATCATACACAAAACTAGTTGCATATGAATTATTGATCTAAATGAAGCTTCAAGAGGGTAACATGAAAGAATATCTTCATGACTGAGGCAGGCAAAAAATTTCCTAAATAGGACATAAAGAGCACTAACCAAAAAGGAATAGATGGAGAAATTTGGCCTATATTTAAATTAAGGACTTCTGCTCATCAAAAACATCATTAAAGGAGTGATAAGGCAAGACAAAGACTAGTGGAAAATAATTACAATTTATATAACTGACAAAGGACTTACCCAGTACATATAAATATCAATAACAAAGATGAAAAATTAAGTGCCAAAGGTTTGAATAAGAACTTTATAAACAAAGATATCCAAACGCCATTAAAAATATTAAAATGTGTGGGCCGGCCCGGTGGCGCACTGCGCTAGTGCGCCGCTTGGGAAGCACGATGGCGCTCCCGCCGAGGGGTCGGATCCCACATACAGACCGGTTCCTGCTCACTGGCTGAGTGAGGCACGGGGGCAACACCAAGGGTTGCGATCCCGTTGCCGGTCCTGGTCCGGTACGGGGGCGACACTGAGGGTTGCGATCCGTTGCCGGATATGGAAAAAGACAAAAAAAAAAAAAAAAAATATATTAAAATGTGTTCAAGTTCATTAATCTTTGAAAAATGCAAAATAAAATAGTAATGAGATACCACTACATAACCTGTCAGAATGGTTGAAATGAAAAAAATTGATATCACGAAGTGTTCGAAAGAATATGGAGCACTGGATCAATCACGTGGAAGTATAAATTGGTGTGACTACTTTGCATGCTGTTTGGCAATAAGTACTAATACTGAAATTCTTATACCCTCTAACTTAGCAGTTTGAATCATATGTGTATGTATCCAATAGAAATGCATACAAATGTGTGCCAAAAGGCATGTGTCATAATCTTCACATCAGCATTATTTATAATACAAAACTGGAAACTGCCCAAATATCCTTCAGCAGTGGAATGAATAAATTGTATATTCATTCAGTGGAATGCTATATAATGTGAATGATAACTACACCAAACAACATGAGTGAATCACAAAAACAATGTTGAAGGAAGCTAGACACAAAATAATATATACCGTACAATTTTAAGTAAAGTTCAAAGCAGTCAAAACTTATTTGTGATGTTAGAATTAGGGTAGTAATTATCTTTGGAAAAGAGTATGTGGTTAGTGACTGGGAGAAGACAAACAGTAAATTTTAGGATTCCGGTAATTATCTGTTTCTTAATATGGATGGTGGTTATGTGAGCATTTCACTTTGTGAAAATTTGTCAAAATGTACACTTGTGATTTGGCAGTTTTCTGTTCGTTATAATTCAGTAAATAAGTTTAAAAAAAAAATAGATGATACATACCTATTGACCCAGCTATCCTACTTTGGATTTCTGTCCTAAGGAATGAAAAGCATTTATCTTTAAAGAAATATGTGGAAGGCTTCATGAACTAACTATGTGTTGGATGATAGTGTGTTGTATTGCAGCATTGTTTGTAGTACCAGAATTGTCTGTTATTGAGAGAGTGTTGTGTAAGTCATGGAATATCCATACTGTGGAATGTTACACATTTTTTTTTTAAAGATTTTTATCTGTTGACCTGGAGGAGTTTAATTAGAAACAAACACACACACACAAGATACGGTGTACTGTTTGATTCCATTTCTTGTTTTTAAAAAAAATACATACATACATAGTTTTTTGTATGAGCCTGGAGGAAGGAGTAGAAAAGGAATATTAACTGAGATGGGAGTGAAATCAGTGATTGGCACAAGGGCAGTTACTGAATTTTTCTAGGTGCATCTTTGTATACTAGCCATGTCTTTGATGCTGCTCTTACCACTAGTCCTTGTGACAGTTTTTTTGTTTTTTTTTTTTTTTTTTTTTTTTTAACAGCAGACTCTCGTCTTCAGCCTCTGTTATCCTGTGATATTCAGTTAGCCTCAATCACTGATTGGGGCCATGAATGATTATGACTTACAGCAAAAAAAGAGAAGTAATAAAGTTTTTAGTGAAAATCTAGGCAATTCTTGATAATATATGACTCAGAATTGGCAGCACATGGCTATATCTTGGGTATTGCCAAATAGGATTAAAATCGCACATCAAAGTCATGTGAGGTATATTTATTTCTAATATTAGGGATCTGGCTTGTTTGTTTCTTTCAAGAGGGAGCAGGAAAGTCAAATGGCTCGTCTTAAAAAACAGCAAGAAGAATTGGAACAGATGAGACTGCGTTACCTGGCTGCTGAAGAAAAAGATACAGTAAAAACTGAGCGACAAGAATTGTTGGATATAAGAAATGAATTGAACAGGTATAATAACTAAGATTATTTCTTGTTTCTTACAAAAACCAAAGTTCTATTAGGTCAGCCTTTTAATTGGTCGTTAGTCCAGGAGAGGTACAACTTCAGGTCCCTCAAGGGTAAAGTAGATCGTATTTAAAATGTAGCAGGCTTGAACAATAGAAAATCTATGCCAAAGACTATTACACCCTTTTTTTTTTTTGAATGTAGCTGTGTCAAATCTATGTAGCTCTTATGTTTCCATTCATAGTACTGGTACTTTAAAGTTTATATTTTTGTGTGACTGTTTTCAGGATTATTTCTACTGTTGATTGATTTGAATTTTGAATTACATAAAGTCTAAGAAATATCAAATTTAGTTATATTATTAAAATCTGTAATAAAATAGCTCTTATTTATTGAGCCCTTATTGTGTCAGGAAGCTATTCAAAATGCCTTATGTGCCTATCTCATTTTCTTTTTTTATCTTCAAAACAACTCTTGAGGAAGATATTATCCCCATTTTAGAGATGAGGAAATTGAAGATTAAAAAGAGAGTCTTAAATATCTTTTTCAAGGTCACACAGCCAGTAAATCGTGGAGCCAGAGTTCAAACTTGATTCCAGAGATTGCATTTTTAACTACTATGCTACACTGGGCTTCTCTGTAGTACCATGTTCATCTTAATCACAATTTAACAGTGCTTCATATTAGAAAAGAAAAGTAGTCATTAAGCAGCAGCATAAAAACAAATCAGTCTTTCTGGAGGGTGGTTTTGGGGGAAGACATTTTAGATTTGTTATGCAGGGACTAGCAAATTTTTTTTCAGCACTTTCTTAGTTAGCTTGGACTGCCATAAGAAAATAAGATTGACTAGGTAGCTTAAACAGAAATTTATTTTATCACAGTTCTAGAGACTAGAAGTTCGAGATCAGGGTGCCAGCATGGTCGGTTTCTAGAGGGCCACCTTCTCACTGTGTCTTTTCGGGGGTGGTGGGGGTGTAATAGAGAAGAGAGCAAGCTCTCTGCTGTCCCTTCTTATGAGAGCCTTAATCCATGAGGGTGGTACCCTCATGTCCTCATCTAAATCTAATTATCTCCCAAATGCCCCATCTCCAAGTATCATCACATCCAAGGCTAGGACTTCAACATATAAATTGGGGGGGGGGGGGGACCATAGTTCAGTCCATACACATTATTCCATTACATTTGACAAACTTCCATGATATCTCGATGTGTGAACTGGAAAAAAAAATGCAGTCACTATATTAAGTAGATTCAGAGCCGAATTAAACAACTTTACAGTAGTCCCCCATTATCCACAGTTTAACTTATCCACATGAACCATAGTCTCAAAATGTTAATTGGAAAATTCCAGAAATAAATGATTTGTAAATTTTAAATTGTATGCCATTCTGAGTAGTGTGATGAAACCTCACCCTGCCCCATCTCATCCTTTGGTCCAGAGTAACAGTGCTGTCTGTGTTACCTGCCCATTAGTCACTTAGTAGCCATCTCGGTTACTCAGTCAACTGAGTGCTTAGGTTTAGTACTATCTGTGGTTTCAGGCATCCACTGGGAGTCTTGGAACATATCCCTGTGGACAAGGGGAGACTACTGTATTTAGAAGGTAAATATCAGTTGTGAAAAGTCAGCTCTAAGTGCCGTGCTCAAGGATCAATCTGTGCTACTATTGATTCTCTTTTATTCAGTAAACACCTATTTGGTATCTACAATATTTTATTTTGCCTATCAGATTCATAGGTCATACAAAATTGAATCTTACTAATGTCTTAGTAAGATTATTAGGATTCAGAGAGGATTTAAGTCAACAAGATCAAATGTATTAGAGATAAAAGCAGAGTTCACTGTATAAATTATAAGAAAAATCACTTATATGATAGGTAAGACATAATAAAACAGTTTATGTGATGACACCCAGGAGGATTTAAGTGGCTACTGATAACAGTGTGACTTGGCTGCCAAAGAGTCAGTGTAGATAGGGACATTCATAGAAATAATGTTCAGTATTCAGCATTGGTAAAATCACTTCTGGGGTGTTCTTAGCAATGTGCACACTCTTTAAGGGAAATCACCTAACTAGAGAGCTTCCAATGGAATGTGAGCAGGACAGTAAGGGACTATATATCATTTCATCCAAAAAGTAGTTAGGAGAGTGAGGGATATTGAACTTAGAGAAGGGAACTCTTAGGCAAAGTGGTAGATAGCTGTTTTTAAGTATTTGCAGGGCTACCATATTAAAAAGGAAGGATATAGGCGTCTTCTCTTGGCAGAATCATAGCCAATTATTGGAGAGTATAAAGAGGCATACCGAGTTCAATATAAGAAGGAATTTTCCAACAGAGTTCTACAAAGCAGGAGGTTCCTAGTGGTGGGAAGTGTACAGTGTAGTCCAGACATAGCATTTGTCAGGAATGTTATCAAAGTTTCCTTTGATAACTTTATGGGTTTCTTCAGCTACTGGGGCCTAAAATTCTATTGTGATCATGACTGATGATTTGTATTTTAGTAAAGATTTGGAAGGGATAATCTATCAGTTGTGTAAAAATTGTATTTGGCCTTCATGCATAAACAGATGGTGTGCAAAAAGGAAATGGTTAAACTTTCTGGAACATAGTTTGACATTGTGAGTCATTAATTTGCCTAAAGGATCCTTCCCTCAAGGTAGCTATAAGAATTAGGGTAGGGGAAACTATTCAGAAGTCTGCCCTTACCCAGCCACACGAGTTGCTCAAATTCAAAGGGAGGATTTGATTCCAGTATCTCATTAACCACTTGATTTCTCACCCAGGGCCCATAGCACAGTGCTCCTCACTGTTTAGCCTTTTTTTTTCTTTGAACAGTTGAAGATATTTGGCATCATTCTTGGACTGTATACTTCAGTTTCCTTTTCTTTTGTGAGGAATTGCAGGAGTTTCATGTTTCAGAGGGCCGTCTGAACAAAGGAAAGTGTACACTGCCCCTCTGGGGCCCAGTCCTCATGGTCTATCAGAGCAAGACTCACTGCCTTACTGCTTCTTCCTCCCTCTCACCTTATGTGCAGATCAGAAGTGGACTTGCTTCTCATTGGCTTACTTACTGTGAAGCCCATCTCAAAGCAGGGGCTTAGATTCAACTGTTGTATCTTACTTATCAAAACAAAGTTTTAGGAATAGTTGTAATTAAGACATTTTCGTAGCCAGTTACATAGAGAAGTATATATCTGAATTGTATCTTAATTGTACGTTATATCTTAATTGCATTTAATTTTGTACATTCTAAATTAAATTAAAACATATTCCATATCCAAGCGTAGTGTTAGTATTATGTAGTAAGTGTACTAAGTATTATTACCTCTCCATTTTTAAGGCAGTGTAAACAATGATATTCGATTGGAAATACCTAAATTCCAGGCCAGCACCTGCTCTCCTTTCTTCATCTCCACACGAGATCATCACAAGCATAACTTGAAGATATCTGTACAAAACTTTAGCATGTACATGCCCTTTGAACCAGACATTCACATTTATAGAATTTTACTTTCTATGATTAATTAGAGATATAAGCACCATAATGGTAGGGACTTTTCTTCATGATTCACTGCAGTATCCCCAAAACCTGTTTGGCACAAATAAATATTTGTTGAGTGAATTTAGAAAAAAATTTTATTTTCAAAATAACAGTAACAACAAAAGTTTAATAACCTAAAGATTGGTAATAAAGGATGGTTAAATGATGGTACATTCAAGAATACTGGATGACGTAGGAAAACATCTGCTATATAAATAAGTGGAAAAAGTAGTTTATAGCATTGTATATATTATATCACTAACTTTTTAGAAAAATACATATTTTTAAAGTATATGCTTTTTTATTGAAAAGAAATACAGAAAAATGTTACTCAGATTGGTTATCTGTGGATAAGATTACAGATGATTTTAATTTTCTTCCTTGCACAGCTCCAAAATTTCTACAGATTTTAAGTATTTTATAATTAGAAAAGCAAGTATTGTTTTAACAACTGCCTTTTATAAACGTGCTTTCTCCACCTAGCCAAGTGGAACATTGGTTTTTGTTTGTTCCTTCCTGAAAATATTACTAAGAACTTATTTTACTGTCGAATCACTTTGTTTTTAAATGGTGCTGTTAAAAAAACCAAACCAGTATTTGTTTCCTGCTACAGTGTATTTGTTCTCGACTTCTCAGGTTAAGGCAACAAGAACAAATACAGTACCAGGATTCCAGAGAGATTGCAAGTGGGAAAACAGATGGCCCACATGGCAATGCACTGGAAGAAGGTTTGGACGATTATCTGACTCGCCTAATAGAAGAAAGGGATACTTTGATGAGAACGGGTGTGTATAATCACGAAGATCGAATAATAAGTGAACTTGACCGACAGATCAGAGAGGTTTTGGCAAAAAACAGTGCCAGTAATTAATAATATTTGGAAAATCTTTACAGAGACTCCAGGTCTAAATTTTAATTTCATTGTAAAACTTTCAAAAGTGGGGGAAATGGATGTTTTAGAATGCTATTTTCAATTTTTTATAAACAAAATTTTGTATGTTAATGTATAGTATTTATTTACTTTATGCTACCTCTCCCACGCTGGTTTTGTTTGTAATTACATCTTATATGCTCATTTTAAATGACTTTTCAGTGTTTCTCATAGTTTATAATCTGATGGCTAACTTTCAAAACAGCTTTTCACTAAGTTTGTTTTTGGAGAAATAACTACAGTCATTTCCAGTTACATAATTTTTCATGTTGAGCCAATAGAGTACATGTTGCACTTTAAAAATGCTGTGTCCTGTTCCATTTGAATATAGATATCTTAAAAGCTGAGACCAATTGCAAATGTAACCAGTTTTATTTGACTCATTTTAGATGAGCTGACAAGTTTGAAAACAGTGGGTCAGTGCAGAGAAGCCATATGACATATTGGGTGACAAATTAGTCATTTATTTAAATAAAGTTAATACAGATTAAACTTGTTTCAAGAGCTATTGAATTTTCAAATTTTCAGTGTACCCTTAAGAACGTGAAGTAATAGCTTTGTCAGTCTCCCGCTGAATATTGCATTGTTTTCTTTTGTTAAAATTAGAGGTTACTTTTTATTTTCCAGCGATAGTAATATTAGCTGTTAAACCCTCTGTAATAAAACATGGAAACAGACACAAAAAGCCTTTAGCTGAAGAAAGAGTGAAAACAACTATTTTTCACTCCCCCTGATTTCAGTCAATCTTTTTCAAAAGTACATGAGATTAGTAATTGGATTTATGTACTGCCTTGTCCCTATAAACTTTTAAGAGTTTTTTTAACATCGTATTCTTCAGAGCCAGCATTTGTCCTCAAAGCAACACTTTCCACCTCCTTTACAAAGTATTGAAAAACTTTATTAGTAAATTCACAGAATAGGTTGTCTTAAAATATATGTAGTTTAAAAATTCTAATTCTCAAATATAAAAAATTTAAGTATATATTTTTGGGAGTGTATACCGTTTACTGATAACTCCTGTAAAATCAGAATAGGATATTTGGTAACATTAATTTAATTTTCTGTCATTTTCAACAAGGTATGTTTCTAGTTTGGGAAATTAAGGTCCCTAGATACATTATGTGTGTTTTTTCCAAAGTGTTAATCTTCTAAAAACAACCCAGCAGTAAAAAACAGAGAAATTATTGAATGGGAGAATAATGAATCTGAATCAAAGAAGAAATTTGAAATATTAATTATGGTTAGATATTTTCTCTCATTGATTTTTGTGCCACATGAATGGAATAGAAGTATTCTTTTTGTTTTGGAAGGTCTGGGGTAAAATAGTGTGATTGTTCACCATCAGTTACATTGTGTGCTGCCTGTGACTGTTTTCAAACACTAGAGGGGGCCTTAGATTTAAAGAAACAAAACGGAGTTTTCTAAAATGGATGCGTGGTTTATTTTGCCATCCATAAAGCGATCTTTTGGCTATTGTAATTTAACAAATAAAATCATAATTTTATGCACTTTGAGTTCTTGAGCAGTATGTTACTCTTGTTTCTAAACAGTGTGACCAGAGTATTCAGAGCCCTTCTCGTTTTGTCACTGCATTTTTGTATTTTCTCAAGTGCTTATGTTTCAGATACTTTTATATGTCTTAAAATTAGGAGAGTCTGAAATTTTAACACTCTTTTGTAGTCCTTCAGCAACAGCCATTCCATTTGTAAGTAGCATTTAACATATTTACACTGATTACTTTACTAAAGTATTGTCAATGCCTGGAGTTACCTAGTATAACCACAGTAGGTAAACGAGTGGGTGGGTGGGTGAATAAGTTTCCCAATTACTACATATAACAGGAGAACTTTCATTAAATATCTTAAAGTGAAATAAAATTTATCTTTAAAATTGCTATGATTATTTTTCATGGAGAAAGTCTAGTTCCCCATGTCAAAGGTTGGCATGTACTGCATAGGAGGGGTATATCATGTCTGTCAGGTATATCTAATACCATGTCTGTATAAACTTTAAGAGCTCCTGTACAGGTATATCCCAGTAATTTCTACCTGGACCTGAGTTCCTATGGCTTCAAGTGGATGTGGGACTTTGAGTGTGATTTAAAGGGACATATCAGGGGGACTGCTGAGGGGAAAACAATCTAGTCTGACCAGATGATTTTCTCCTCTACTTACTGTCCTGTCCACATACTGCCCAAACTGAATCTGAGTTCACAGATTGCCCTAGTATATGAGGGGTCTTCAGAAAGTATATGGAAGAATTTGTGTTATTTTTCAATTGTATTTTCCACAAACGTTTTGAAGTACCCTAGTAAATTGCTTATCTATACTTACTTCAAGATGGACTAACCTGGTTCTTACAGTCTATAAGAACGGTCCTCTGGTACCTACATATGGACTTTTAAAGTATGTTTTCACTGCTACTATGTCTAGCTTGACTAGCTACCCATCTTGATTTTTATAAATTATGTTGGACCTTTGATTTTTAAAATTAATATAATTTTGATTTTTAAAAATTTGACTTTACAAATTAATGTAATTCATATACCATAAAAATAACCATTTTAAACTATACGATTTAGGGGGGTTTTTGTATATTCACAACATTGTGCAATCATCACCACTGTCTAAAATATTTTCACCACCCCAAAAATATTCTCACACCACCTTTGTACCCATTAGCACTCGCTCCTCATTCTTTGCTACCCCAGCCCCTGGCAACTATTAATCTACTTTGTGTCTCTGTGAATTTGCCTATTCTGGGCATTTCATATAAATGGAATCCCAAATTTAGTGTTTAGAATTGAAAATATTAGAAAACCTAAACCGATTTTTCAATAATTAGTTTCTATGGTATATAGCATTTTATCAGATGTTGAAATAAGTGATACAAAGGTCCAACCTAAAGACATAACATTCATCAAAAGTTAAGAATAGAGCTCAACTCTTCCTTTATCCATCACCTATTAAAAGAATTGACCAAAAGTAATAGTGGAAAGTAGATAACATTCTTTTGTCACATCTCTCTGACCAATTCTGGTGCTGGAAATGGATTATTGACACATGGCATGTATCATGCCATTGGTATCTTATCAAAATGCATGTTTTTCCATGTTTTGTAGAGTTTGGGGAAAACAGGAAACACAGTCAACCAGAACATAAGGTCTGTGAGGGCAGAGACTGGGTCTATATTTTCGGCCATATTCCAGAATTAAAATAGTGTCTGCCATATGTAGACACTCAAATATTTGCTAAATTCATAAAGAAATAAGTGAAGAAAAGATTGTGTATGGTCTGCCTGTCAAAACAGACAAAAAATTTTGATGACTGAGGTGTTGAGAAAATAGGCACCCCTGGCCTCACTGACAGGTTATGAACTTGTGGCCTGACTTCCCAGGCCCTATTGAAATTGAGGGGTTTTGTTTGTTGCATTGTTTTTGCTTTAAAAGAAGTTTGCTTTAAATTCTCAGAGACAAAGTAGAATACAGGTTATCAGGGACTTGAGGGGAATGGGGAAGCTACTATTTAATGGGTACAGAGTTTCTGTTTGGGGTGAAGAAAAAGTTCTAGATGATAGATAGTGAAATCATTGCACAGCATTGTGAGAACACTTAATCCCACTGAATTGTACAATTAAAATTATTAAAATGGTAAATTTTATGTTATATTTTATCACAATTTTTTTTAAAAGTTTGCTCCAAATTCTGCCTCAAATCTCCCTACCCAGTGTTCTCATGCTGTACGTTTTTTGAACAAGGGTCGCCTGTCAAGGCATTCCTGAAGATAATATCTTGTCATTCCTTGATTATAGGAATGGATCAAAGACGCTTCATTATATATTTGTACACTTTGTTAAAATCTGAAATTAGTGAAAACTAATGGCTACTTTAAAATCCCGGACGCTAAAGGTAAATTGAAGGATAATTGAAACTTAAGATCGTAATGCTTTTGTGTTTTGTAAAATTAGGATCTTTTTATTTTTTAAAAAAGAATGATAATAAAAGACCAAAAAAACACTGTTCTTTTAATTTAGCAGATAGTCCAGACCATGAATGTAAATTGAGAGTTGTTTTTTTTTAAAAAAAACACAACAGATTACTAGTTCTCTAAATTAGGTTTCATGTCTACATCTTTTTGTTGGTAGTAGGTAGTAGTAGGTAGTCTCACTGTTGGTTGATGATCTTATTATCCGGGAAAGTGATATGTGTGGAATGTAAAAATCTGCTTGAATAATTTTTAATTATGACTTGAAAATTTAAATCCATCTTTGATATTTGTGTTTTGGCAATTGTGGCCCAACCCTCGGAGCCTAGACTTTTCAGCACGCACTTTTCTGCCACCTGCTCTAGCACACAATTATGCTTCTTCCTAGCCAGTGGGCCTCTGCTTCCGTGACTCGGGAGACATTTGTAATTTATCAATTTGGGTGTAAATGGGGAAACAGAGACAGAATTGCTTAAGTACCTGAAATTTTTAATGAAACCAAAAGAACTATTTTGCTCGCTGATTATGTTATATAACCTGTGTTTGGCATCAAATTAGAACCCACTATTGTTAGGAATGTAACTGTAGAAAGGCTGTTACGTACTTAAATCTCATTTTATTTGTTTCTCTGGGGGTTGTCTTAGTGTTTTCATTAGAAATGTTTTTACAGATGTAGGCTCTTCAGATATGAAGTTGCTGAAGTGGAGATTCAGAAGTTTAGCTTTCAGATTGAAGGGGGATGGATAAGAATCCACCAGGAACAAATGATACCCAAAATTTGTCTTAAGATTCTTTAGAAAACCTTCAGAGAGAGAGACAGACAGACACTGAGAGAAAGAAGGAAAGAGGACAGAGAGAGAAGACAGAGGCAAAAAGAACTCATAGCCCAATTTGCCTGTGGTTTACACTTTCCTTTTCTTTCTAAGGTCTTTAAAGTTATCATATGTGTGGTTCCACTGGTTCTACTGTTTATCTCATATTATCACTTGAACCTCAGTGTCATTATTCAGATCTATCTGAACATGTATATGAACCCAACAGTACAAATATGCAGGAGAAGCAATTGTCAACGTAGTATGCTCTGGCCTTACTCTGGAATTTGAAATTTGCTATATATGTACAGTAGGCATTTTAATGCTACCTTCAGTGTATATACAGATTTAGCTTAACTCGCAATGATGTGCCCTTCTGCCAAATAAAAAAGAATAATCTGCCTATTTTACTGAGAACAAGTAAATTGAGGAATTTATCCATTCAAACAAAATATATATTTAGCAACCATATGAGTGTGTTTTATTTAGTATAAATTTTTATATAGTTATATATAAAGCATTGCTATTGTTCTATTGTGGTATCTAGGAGAGAGATTTACACCCTTCTTTGTTATTAATAAATTGTGAAGGTGTCGTTGGGCCTCCAGTGCCTTCATGTAATCAATAAATAAAGGATAAATAAAACACCATACCTGCATTTTCCTTTTTCTCAGTCTTTATCTACATAATCTGCCTTTCCCAGTGTTCTATGATAGCTTCAGTTGCTGTGATGCAGAGTATACAAAACAGTTTCTGGTCACAGTGTTACTATTAAAAGCTCTAATTATGCATGTAAATTATTTTTTGTCAAAACAGACTTTTTTCAAATTCAGTAAGAGTATTTGGATACTAAATTTGCTACTAAAAGTTATCAAACCTGTTTTTAACTGGAGGAGCAATTTATGTCATAAACTACATAGGATTAGCTGCTAATCACATTGGAAACTTCAGAGGTAAGTCTATAAGGAGACTAAAAAAATAACCCAAACAATCCGTTTATAGTCCTACACTCCCAGAAAGTTGGCTAGCAAAGGATGGTGGATAATTTAGTGGAGAAAGGATTTTTTTAACAAATGGTTCTGGAAAGATTGGGTGTCCATAAGTAAAAAATTGGACTTTGATTCATACGTCACTCTGTGTACAAAAGTTAATTTGGAAATGTACAGTCTAAAACTATAACACTTCTAGAATAAAATACAGGCGAAAACCTTTGTGATTTTGAGTTAGACAAAGATCCCTTACCTATGACACCATAAGCACAATCCATAAAAGAACAAATTGATAAATAGAACATTATCAAAATTAAAACCTCTGCTCTTTAGAAGAGAGTGAGTAGAGGATGAAAAACAAGCCACCCCGGGAGGAAATACACAAATCATACATCTGATAGAGGATTTTTATCCAGAATATATAAAAAAATTATTGAAAATCAGAAGAAAACCACTCAATTTTTTGAAAGGTAATTTATTTGAATAAATGCTTCACTACAAAATATATATGGATGTCCAGTCGGTACAGGAAAAGATGCTTGTCATCATTAGTCACTAGGAAAGTGCAAATTAAAACTGTAATGAGATACCACTACACAAGTATTAGAATAGCTAAAATTAAATAGAGTAAACTGACCATTCCACTTCCAGGTGTTTACGGTACAGGAAAAGATGCTTGTCATCATTAGTCACTAGGAAAGTGCAAATTAAAACTGTAATGAGATACCAC